TATATGTTACTAGGTGAACCCCAAGTTCTAGTATTGTCAGTATTGCATCAGAATGAGAGTCGACTAAATGGTTGACGTTAATACTTTTGTCAAATTCAGAATAAATAAATTTTTTATTATTGGGTTTTAATATAATAATAATAATAGTAATTAATGTATTATTGTTATCATTAATATTGATACTCAATAATAATATGGTGATTGAAATTCAATAATAAAAATTAAAATTTTAATTAAAAATTAATATAAATTAATAATAATATTGATCATTTTATACAAAAATTAATTATCAATTACACAAGTTAATATATCTACAACAAATTTATATCCATAAAAAAAATTTACAAATGAAAAAGAAGAAAATAGAGTGAAAATGGTATATCCATTCTTCTACCAACAAAAAATAAATAAATAAATAAAGTAATTAAAAAATTATGAAAAAAAACGAAAAAAATCTTTAAATCACACAAAAAAATCAAAGTATAGTCACATACCATATATTGTGTTAAGACATCTCCCCTACAAAAACACAAGAAACAAAAATAATAATAATATTTGAAATTAATCATCATATAATAAAAACTAATAGTATAAAAATGAAAAAAAATGGCACAAAGTCATTTATCTTATATAACAGATTCTCCCAATATATAAACCTACAACTAAAATGAAAAAATTAGTTTAAGTATAAATTAAAACTCTAAATTAGTAGAATTATACAAAATATTAAAAGAATTATAATAAAATAGAAGAATTTATGGGTTAGAGAATATACTATTGGATTGTGACAAAAATTTTATGAGAATGAATTTAGTCTGTGAAAAATAAAAAGAGTTAGAAATTGAGAAAATGAGAAGATAACGAAAGGAAGAGAGAAATGAATCTAAAGAAGAAGAAGAGAAATGGCATAATAATAAGAGAACTACAACGAGTGATATATATATATATATATATATATATAAACATTTACATCAGCCAATATAATTTGTTTTTACATTGCCAACACATAATAATTCAATCAAAAGTAGTGGAAAAATACAGGAGGCTTAAAAAACTTTTGAAAATTTTTTATCAGTCCACATCAATGTTAAGTTGTTAACCAAAAAACCTAAAAAAAATTTAACCATACGATTTATGAAAGATCTCATAAAAAAAAAATCTGCTTCTTTAAATACAAAACACCTCATGCAAAAGATTTATAAACTTACATATCAATATATTAATCCTTCTACCAATATAACATATTTCATCCAAATAAATAAACTACTAAACTTCATTTGCATATTAATCTATGTACAAACACTTGATGTAAAATGTAATTTTAAATTTGTTTCAAATGTCAAACTTTTTAAAAGAATGATTTTCTTACTTTTTTGTCTCTTTTTTGGAGACTAAATACTTGAATCTATAATTTCAAAGCAAAAAAAGAAAAAAAAGAGAAAAAAAGGCAAATAATTAGATTTAGCATGTAAAACATGCAAATTGAGAAAAAAAAAACATAAAAAAACTATTAAAGAAATGATTTTTTTAATCTTTTTATCTCTTTTATCATATTAAACTTTAATAAATGTGATTGAAATTTGAAATAAACAATGGTCTCTCGTTGCTTTCATGAAAAAGAAAAGAATAGTAAACAAGACTTTCAGAAAAATGCAAGGCAAGAGAACCCAGATCTGGTTTTGAAGACAATACCAATAATTTGTATCAACACAAGTTTTGATGCAATGGTAAAGAATTATCGACCCCAATTCTACTAAAATAAGTTTAACGTATAAAATACAATGAAATAGTACTACATTAATAAGATATTATTCATCAATTACTTTTTATCATTTTTCTAATTCTTCTAAAACATTGACCACAATGAATTGGATTTTAGTATACTTTTGACTTTATTTACATTAACAATGCTTATAATAATGTTTTTTAGTTAACACTAAAAAATTTTACTGTAACAGAATTTTTTTGCATAAATAATATCGACGTAAATAACATATATTTACGTCAATATTTCATAACTTACGCTCAAAATGTGGACACTTTCATGACTACATTCTTGTAGTGCTAACAATGGTAGAGATCCACTCGATGATGTCTTAATTTTGTAGGCAAGCACAATACGAATTACAAGACTACAACTCTTGAAAAACTAGAGTTGTGTACACTTGCGTTGATTTTTCACCGTTCGATAAAATAAAAAGAATTGTGTTGGAGGTTACATTTCTATTACACCTTTTCATTTTATACAGTGAACCATTAAAAATATTAATTTATTATAATTAAATTAATTTTAATTAATATTTTATATAATTTAATAATTATAATAATATATAAGGCTCTTCTCGAAATAATAATCGAATAATAACACAATTTCTCTAATAATAAAATACTTGAAAAGCTACGATTATAACACTTTATAACAATCTTAGCCTAAAACTTCAGATTTGGATGGGCAGAAATTAAAACCAAATTTGGCGTGAAAGGCCGAGTGGCTGTAATAGTAGTAGACAAGTAAATTTTTACAACATTCTTCAAAATTTAACAATCAAGAAAATATTGATAGTGTAGACATACTCATAATCTTGAAGTTAGGGTTTAAGCGTCTTGGTGTGATGTCCAGAAGGTGTGCATTGCATGCAATTGGCTCAAATCAGTTGACTTCAGAGACATTTTATAGAGTTCTCTGAGCTTTGTGGCGTCTGCGGATCTATTTGATGTTGTAGTTGACTGAGCAGCAGGAGAAGATTTATTAGAATTTGAAGAGAGAGTGAGGGCTAACATTTTCTTTAGAACCATCTGCAGCTGGCTCCAAAATTTGGCATGTAACTCAGGGTAGTCAGTTTTAAATGAATCTGAAATTGCTTCTGATACATGTCGTCCTTCCAGTAGGCGTGACAAAATTGATTCCAGCATCTGCAGCAAAGAGAACGGATGAGTGAAATGGAATCGACATTTCATGTCAAACAAGAAGCTAAAAGATTTGAAATAACTGTTAAAAAAGGGAGCCAAAAAATTGTATAAGAACATACCGTGTTTGAGTGCAATGCATTTGAGAGGCTAAATGAAAGGGCTGATCTCTCCACAAGAATAGTCAGGTACATGGTGGGATGTGTCTTGGGGCCATAAAAGTCTATTGCTTTTCCCCAATTCCTATCAGCTAAGGAGGCATATTGCTTCACCCTCAGGAGAATGCTATTTTCACCTTTAGACAAATTGCTTTTCTTATTATCTGATTGCAAAAACTTCAAACAGCAATCCCTTTGATAGCAAGCAAGCTGAAAATAAGCATATGCAGCTTCTTGTTTCCGTAATTCACCCAGTGATTCATAGACAGATAATGCCTCCCGTATAGCCTCATTGGCTGATATTTCATGCTTTCTCAATTCTTTCGTAGTTCCGTCACAAACAGTAGAAGTGTCTTCCAGTGTTCCGTTTTCATAAACTTCAGCAGTGATATTTTCCCTAGCCAAAAGCATGCCAAGCCTCAGGTACGTATGAGCAAACTGTGTATAGACTTCATTCTTCAAGTTGTCTGGCACAGAAAGAGCCTCTTCCATGATTGTATTCAGTTCCATCTTTGCAGCCCCATAATGTCGGAGTGATTTACTGTATTCCAGTTTTGCAGTATCTAGAGCCTGCTTGTATGCATTATGTAAAACCACATGCATTTTGAGACCTTCGATCTTTGTCACCATCTCTTCAGCCAATGCTCGTCTGCCATGACCCAAATTACAGTTAATTAATATAATATTGGTATGATCTGACACTTCTCTGAATGCATTTATGGCATCTGCAAAAGCAAGTTCAGCTTTGTTCAACTCTTTCCTTTCAAGCCTATTTCGACCCAATTCATTACAGACCCATCCTTTCCTCTTCATCACAGACTGCAGTTCTTCTGAACCAGAAGGAAGTCCACTCAATGCCTTTCTTGCTTCTTCATAACAGCACAAGGCAGCCAAGAGATTGTGTTCTGCATCTCCAATTACATGACCCTTAATGTACCTGAATATGCCACCATATTTCACTTCGGGAGTTCCTTTCAAAGCCCTTTCAATCTCTGAGGCTACATTGGACTCATTATCACATGTTTCAAAAGGACACTCCACTCTTTTAGAACCTCTAACAGTATCAGAAGTTTCCATTGTGACATCACTCTCTCCATTGTTCAGGATATTTCCATAATCAGGACACTGTCTTTTATCTAGATTGTGATGCATATATTCATCTTCATGTTTTCCCAAAAGTGAGTGAGAAATGCTCTTAGCATGTAATCTCTTACCATGTTTTCTGCTGTAAGTAACAACAGTGCCCTTATCTCCACTGCTACTACTTGCACTGCTACCACTACTGGCCCTGTCACATTGGCAGCTGCAGTTTACCAAGGAACATGAACTGCAATTCTGGCTATGCTGGTTCAGCCTCTTTTTGAGCCTTTGGACTTCCTTCACAACAGCAGATGACATTTTCAACTCTCTAGCAGAAGGTTTTTGCCCTGGCTGTGCCAAAACTTCTTTACCCATAATTTTGTGGAACTCAACATACACATCCCCGACAAGTATCCAAGCTTTAGCCCAGAACAGATGTGTTGAAGAGAATTGCTCTAGCGTATAACAGTCAACATTAGAGTTGGAAGTCACTTCTTGCAGATCACCAATAAACGATCTTGTCTCTTCATTTCTGTTGTCAAACTTTGTCTGGAGTGATGAACAATTAACTATTGAAGAAATAAACCTAGTGTCTTCAAGTTGCCGAGGCATTGATCCATAAACAGAACAAGCTAATTCCACTATCTTCAGAGCTTGATGCAATTGGCCATCCTCTTTGTATGCTTGTCCAAGTGCCAAATAAGATTCCCCAAGGAGAAGAACAAGTTTCCACAACTTGTGGTCCAATTTGGACGTTGGAAGCCATTCTCTAATATCACAAATTTCAATGCAATCAGCATCACCACATGCACAAACAGACAGATTTATAGATGAAAGCAGTCGATCATGAATACCATTGTCTTGGCTAACCAACTCAGATTCAGAGCTTTGCAGTTGGCGCATCCATCTAAGAGACTTGATGGCTTGAGAAACATGATGCACTGCAGCTAACTTAGAGGAGATCGGATCAGTGACAGTTTCAGTTTGACTCACACATTTAGAAGTTGAAGTTTTGCAAACAGCAAGGTTTTCATCACTACCAAAATTTTGAGAGACTCTTTCATCTCCTAGTTCCGGGTTACATGAGATTGTCAATTTCATGGGAGTAGATACATTAGCTTCCAAGGTCATCTTTACAGAATCTTCAATTGCTAAATCATGAAAACCTGTTCCATCTTCAATTTGCTTGTCCTCCACAACTAAGAAAGAGTCTTCATGGATAACTGATTCAGAAAAACTACTAGAGGGGACCACGGATTCTTCAGGTTCGGCAACCGTAACTTCATATTCTACTGGAAGAGATTCAGAAGTTAAATCCAGTTCTCCATCATTATTCAAAATAAGCCTTGCAAATTGTTCATGAGCAAATGCGCGTACAACCTATTTAGCATCATAATGATAGTAAGTAGTCCATACTTTAATTATAAACAGGAAAAAGTAAATAAATAAATTGGGGGACAACTAGAAGTTATCAATACCAGATGATCCGGTTCATCCAGAAAATCCAAACATTTCTGAAAGAACCTCACACACTTAGCCCTATTTTTCGTCACCTGCACCAGAACCATCCATGTTATTAGCATAGACCATTAAATGCAGATAAATGCACCAAACAATATAGAAATGGGATCCATACCATTGAAAGTGAAAGCCTATGAGCAATGCGGTAAAGTAGGATCCCTAGTGAAAATAAAGAATCACATCTCCCCCTATGTATTAGAGAAGGCAAAGAGCTTGAGCTATCATCACAGTCACCAGAAGAATGGTTCTTGGGAATAACAGACAGATCAAAGAGTTGAATTACATCTTCACCAGCACTTTTGTAAAGCTGTAACATATAAAGGATGAACATATCTCAGCAAAAAATTTTAGGAAGACACTTCAAGTGAAGATCAAGTCACACACAAAAATAACCATACCCAGTAAGCACCAGGATCTTGCTTGCAGTTTTCTTGAAGAAACCTCAAAACTGAAAGGCCATTTTGTTGGACAACATGAGGATGAAAAGCAGGAGTGCCATCTTCAGAGATGCCTTTTACTAGAAATATATCATCAGTCTTTAGAAGCTCATAACCCTGGACGACACCATTTTGATGATAACAAATGGCCAACTCTGGCACACTTGCCATGACATTATCAAGCCAGGCGTCGAGCCAAGTTAATGGCGTGACCTGTAAATGTTGGGTGAGAAAACAATTAAAACATGCCCCAAAAGTAGAAGACAAAATTGATATTCCAATAGTTGGCCCTCACCTGTCGTGTAACATCCCACAAGTGCAAGCTCACAGCTGCATATTTTTCATTACTGAACAGAAGCAAGTCACTGCCAAGAAGCATCCGAAAATTGTGAAATTGCCAAAACAAGACCCTTAAAAATCCATTGTTACCAACTCTTCTATGTTTTTCAGACTCTTGGATTGAGCATCTGGGCTTTTCACCAACATGTGCAGCCTTTTTTATCGGGTCATGGCTTTTGTTTCTGTTCTTCTTCTTACTTCCCCAATAGAAGCCATCCTGCTTGACTTGTGAGTATTTGGAGCCCGGATTAAATCCTTCCTTTGGAGCAATACCATCACTCGGTTCCACATAATGGGATGTTTCTCCCCCAGGCAGGACAGATGAGCATGATTGCTGCTCTGATTGAGGATGATGGTTTGGCGGACAATCACAGGCCTCCATTCTAACAGAGTGCATGGCAAAATTTAAAAATAAAGACTGATCTGTACATTTTGATTGACTATTATGTCTTCTAACCAACTTCTCTCCCTCTTCAACATCAGGCCTGCATATTACATAAAAGTCAAGATGTTAAAACTTTATCTTAATGACAAACAAAGCAACAGCAAGTAGATACAAACCCAGTATTCAGAACAAGGGTCTGTCCAACACGATGAACTGCAAGAGATAATCGAGCCTTGGAATATGGTATTTTAAATATCTGCTTCAGAATATCAGCTGGAGCAATCACATCAATCTCATCCCCATATTCCACCAAACCAGACACCGCAAGGGCCTCACCTTTACTACTAAGATTTGAGGCAATGGCATCTCCTTCCCACATTATATCTGCAAAGAAAGAACCATGGAATTACACCTTTAAAATTCCAAATTCAGAAAAGACCAAAAAATTGAATCCCCCTTCCCTCCCACACAAAGAGGAATAAGTTGACGAACAAGAATCATAAAAACCCAAGTATTAAATCTTTACTTTTCACTTTTCAAGCAGCAGATAGCAACTCATGGAATGGGCAGAATAAGCATGGGTAAATTCCTTAATCAGAAAAACAGGTAACAAGAAAAGAGAAAGGTGGATTGATTTTATAGCAACCTGAGTGCTAACTATATCTTTATCTAACCATTGAGGACCAGGTAGTAACTGATAGACAGGCTGCAAAGAGCTTACTGAAAAATATCAAATCAGAACAGGAGACCGTTCACAGATAACCTCAACCTATCCTCCGCCGCGTCACCTATTTAGATTTCTGACCTGTCCTGATTGCAATAAGGGTAATAATATAAAGCATCCATTTTCTCCAGCACGGTATACCTTATGAAGCTATCTAGGATTTCCTTTAACTAAATTCATGTTTGAAGCTGCTAACACCTCACTCTGAATTAATATACCAAATACATATTAAGAGCAAGCATTCAAAGAATTCCAACACTCAAATTATTCCAACTGGTGCACTATTGAATTTAGCAGTATAAGCAATGCAGCTCCAAAATCAAGACATTCCAAGGAATTAAGCAGATAATTACCTCCAGTGGTCTTGCACTGCACAGCACCGATCGGAAGCACCTTTTCCAGGAAGTTCGAGAGAAGCGGCGGCCTATTCAGATCAGTCTCCGTCGGCAGCATCCGATACCTAGGCGCACTCACACTAAAAAAAAAAAAAAAACAACAACAACAACAACATAAGCAATAATCACACAAACCACGCACAACAAAGAAGCATAAAGAGGGAGAGACAGGTACGTTTGGCGTGAAGGAACGAGAGCGGAGGTGAAAGCATGGAAGGAATTATCAGTAGGTACAGGGATAGAACCGCAGAGGAAACCCACAGGCTTCGGCCGGCTGATCTCCATCCTGCCCACGCACTGCAGCTCTGCCGATCCGTCGAACTCCATTGACGACGGCGATCTCTCCATTTTTCCTTCTCAGATTGGTTGCCTTACTAATTTCAGATTTCCGAACGGTTCCTTAAGTTCGTTTCACTGCTTTGGTGGCGGGACTTGTTTTTCGTCGCTGGAAATTTCTGGAATGATAAACGTGAATCGAAATGAAATTGCCTTTCTTTCTCCGTGTCTCGATGAAAATTGGTGGGGTGAGGAACGGACGAGGATCGGGCTTGTATGGAATGGAACTTCCGATATGGATTGTTAGTTATGAATCCATCAACATCGGCCCAACTCCGTTTCTTTCAGAACGAGGGCCCAATTTAGAGTTTCCCTTCTTTTCCTTTTTTTTCCAATTTTAGCTTCATTACAAATTTTCGCCTATGGTTTTGGTTTTTTATTTTTTTATTTATAATTAGGGTGTTCTCAAGTCAACTTTCATGTATTTTAAGAAATTTTAAATATGCATCTTCTTATTAATTTGATATGTTTAAAAAAATTAATTTCTTTAAGTGTAACTTAGATTTAAATTTTATATCTAACTTATAAAATGATATTTACTTACTAATAGATCTAAATCTTGAAAACTTTTTATATAAAATAGTAAATTATATAATAAAAGATAAATCTCCTATTCCCTTATTCTTTATCCCTCTAAAAATTTAAAATTGAGATTTTCAATATAAAATTTTGTACTCGTTTGGTGTAGCTGGAGTTTTTAATAGAAGTTCTATTGGAAAAAAAATTGTTACAGAAGTATTGTTTTTGTAAATAGAAAAAAAAATAAAAATGAAATAGGAATAATGTGTTAATTTTATTAAAATCCAAATGAGAAGTTTCTGCAGAAGCACCAATTCAGTGCTTTTGAGATTTGCAATGAAATGGACAAAAGATTAACTTGTGAGAAGTTGTAGCATTTTTCATAAATTATAGTATTTGATGTAGTTGGAGTTTTGGAGTTTTTAGAGTTCAAAAAGACTTCCCACTTGTATCAAATGTGGTAAAAATATGATATAACGACCCAAACTTACACAAAATTCATAATTTCAGACCCAAACTTCAATTATGCTCAATTAAGGTTCCCAACTACATGAAATTCTCAAATACAGTCCCAATTGGATGAAATATTCTCTTGGTTGCAAATATCTTGATGCTCGGTTAATAGTCCGTCAGTCTCTCAACCAACTAGATCGCCACGTGGAAAAACATGATGACTTGTCATTGCCACGTTGATGCCACATGGATGCCATGTGATGCCAAGGTGGGTCCCCAATTGATTTTGAGGGAAATCAAGCTAAGGAGAATCCATATGGCACCACGTGGCATCCATGTTGTAATGACACGTCAACATGTTTTCCATGTTGGCAATCCAGTTGGCTGAATAATTAATAACATCCAAGACATTTGATGGCAAGAGAATATTTCATCCAATTGGGATCTTATTTGAGAATTTCATATAGTTTAGAACATTAATTGAGCATAATTGAAGTTTAGGTCTGAAATTAAGAATTTTGTACAAGTTCAGGACCTTTTTCCATATTTTTGCCGCCTTTAAATTCTTAAGACACCACTCAGCAGTTCCAGTAATTTTGCTATTGGGCATTCTTACATGATTGACCCCAAAAAATTAAAAAAGAAAAAATGTTTGTTGTTGGGTTGTGCATACCACATAGAATCTAAAAGGGGCCTTCTAAAATGGGCCCTATAAGTGGATCATGTGGTTCGACCACAGACACAAAATCTCACCTCCATGTCTTCTATTCCATATGTTGCACTCTCCAAAGTCCAAACCATCTATCTCCAGGCGCCACTGTAGCACGAGTGGACTAACCTTCTCCCCAACCAAAACACAGTGTACCATACGTTCAAAGAAAAGCGAAGCAAACAAAAGCAAGTGGGGAGATTAGATCTAAATCTAGTGGGGATCACGTGCCACTTCGATTGTGTGTGCTGGCCACGCGTCGCCGGATTCGGAAAGTAGGACCCGCGAACAATGCGAAAGGACCGTCACTATTGCTGTCTTTGACAGCCCCATAAGGAAAAAGAGCAACAGTGAAAAGTCACCTGCTGCAAGTGCTCCCTCCGGTGCTCGTAAGCAAAAATCACTAGGAGTAATAGCTGTTGGGTTTGTCCATTTGACTGATTATATTATTATTCATGATAATTAGTATGAAAAATGCTTACATATTAAGAAGTGGTTTTGAAAACGAGGTTCTCATGGTTTTGTGGCAACCCACCTTTATAAAAAATTTCTTATGTTAAGTTCGGTGGTAGATGTAATGTTTGAGTTTTTCTCTCAATGTTTAAGAAAAATATGTTAAGAAATAGTCTTTTTTTTAAATTCATTTAATAAAAATATATTGTGTAATTTAAATTATATTAAATTGTATAATTTTAATCATTAAATGACAATAAATTTTTTAATATTGGAGATCTTATCTCCTGTCTAATTATTCTTGTTTTATAATTTAGTATAATACAGATTGTAAAATAAGGTAGCTGTTCATCTAACTTGTTTTAAAATTTAAACTCACTATAACATCAAAAAAATTAGTGTCACTTATGGAAAGAAAGCATATTTCTTGTGATGAAAGTGAGATGTCAATATGTAAGTAGAATGACTAAAATGATCATGAACTTTTAAGGATTGGATTCATCGTTTAGTAGTGATATTGTGTAATTTAGATTAAGGGTTCAACTCTTAAGCCAATAATTTTTTTAATTTTGGTTGTACAATAAGAAATAATCATCTCATATCTCTTATTCCACCGTACGTGCATGTCACGAGATTCAAACTCATGACTTTTTGCTTTTAATGGAATGAGATAATTACTAAATTACTTAGGTTGTTGACCTTAAACCAATAATTTAAATAATTTAATCATAATTTTTATAAAAATAAGAGATTTTGAGTTCAAATTATATAGTATATAAATAAAATAAGTAAGTTAAGAGATAAAACAAGTTACATTTTATTATGTAATTTAAAATTAAAAGAAAAAAAAAAAAGAGTTCCATTCTTAATGTTAACATAAAAAAAATCTTGCTAACACGAGCACCCCTTAAAGTCACATGGAATATATTGTCTACAAAAAAATCAAAGTAAAGAGATCATGAAATTTACAATTCAGAAAGGAGCACCTCCCCGATAGTTGAATTGGAACCACCAGAATCATCATAGTATAAGGGCCAAAGGACGCGTACACCAACCACATCCACCACAGATTCAACCAATTTGAAGTGTGCAAATATCGCAATGCACAATAAGAAAAAGGGAAGTGATGAGTTTAGCATAAATTTTTATCCCATTTTTTGTAGTTGAGATGATCTGAGATCACTTTACCCATGATAGTGGACGACCCAATTTGGAGAAGCCCAAATTCCAACCAAAGCTTTCTTCAAGGACAGTGCAATTTGAATACTAATCAGCCATGACAGGGATACAAGAGATTTTGTATTGCAGATTTGGGGCATCGATGAGAAAATCATTTTATGGAAATTAAAGAAGTTAGAAAAAGGAACTGCAAAACTAATTTCGCAAATTTTCTTCTTTAATTTCTTTTATAAATATATTTCTTTCACATATTTGAAATGTATTAAAGGAAGCATTATTTTTAGTGTATTTAAAGTAAAGAGTGTAAATGACATTTTTTTTCATCTATTTACAAACATGGCCCCAAAAAAAAAAAAAAAAGCTTATTTACAAACATTTTTAACACTAAAAAAATAATTTTTTTTTTTAAAAAAGGTCGAATATAGGAGAGAAAAATGTATTTACAAGCAATAAACAAAAAGTCTACAATTGGTCTGGTAAGGGAAAGAAAGTGGAAGTGGAGGAGGTTGTGGTGAGGGCATTATGGAGTGTTGGGAATGCCCAACGTAGGTACAACAGCACCGAGAGGGTAAATTTTTTGCCGCAATTATATTTTGATTAAGATAATTAAATTAAATGTGGTAATCATAACTTAGAAATGAAAATTTGAATATTTCATGCTTGCGTCATAAATCTTCTAACAATAATGATATAACTATAATATCATGTAAAATTATAAATTTATAATTATTATGTCGTATCATTAAATAATTTAATATGATATATTATTAAATAATTAACTTTTTTTATTTTTTTGGTTGGCTTTTTAATTAAAACAATCAATTATATAATAATATATCATATTGTAAACTTATAATTTTACGTGATATTATAACTAAAATATTGTTGTATCTTTTAAGGAGTAGACCAAATATGACTAAAAACTTAGTTACAAGAAGTTGTAAATTGATTATTTCCTCCTATTTTAATTTATTTGAAGAAAATTTGTACAAGCATGAATTAGACATTCTTAATTTGTTTGCTCTTTATTTAATTTAATTTATTTTTATAATAATGGCAAATTATATTTGCTTCGATGTAGTTTAAAGTTAGTGCACTTAATTAACTCCCAAATCATAAAAATACATCTTTAATTTCATATGGTTTGAAAATATGTAATTAACGCTCTAAATTGCAAAAATATACACTCTACTCCTTGTAATTGGAAAAATGTACATTTAACCCCTAGTCTATTAAATATTGAATGTGAACTGTTGAAAAAAAAAAAAAAACTTGGCATTAAGTGCATATTCTCCAACAAATCACATGTGGTCAAGATCATAATTTTGTGATTTCAGACTTAAATGCATATTTTCAAACTACAAAAAGTTGTATACATGTTTTTATAATTTAGATATTAAGTACATCTATTGTAGGTTAAATAAGCAAATGCAATTTCTCCTCTTATGATTTAACAAACGAATAATCACTCCATCAATCAAAACATGTTGAAATCATTCTTGACTCAAAAATTCATGACTTAAGATTTGTTAAGGTCGCTTAACTCCAAAGTTCTACCAAAGCCAAAAACAACCTCTCAAAGGAGGTGTTGTTGCTCGTGATTGAGGAGCATATCGGTTCTCATATGGTGCCATTAATCACCAACGTAATATACATCCAAAATATAATACCTACTAATAATATTAATACCAATTTAAAATTTTATAATTTAATACAATTCAAACTAATAAAATTATTGTATATTCTATAAATTTAACAATTATTAGTGTTATATGAATTGAATCTGGCCCTCTTTTTAAAATGGTGTCAAATAATTAAATGATTACTAATCTTCTGTTTAGTTAAAAAAAAATCATTATTTATGGTTAATTTTATGGGTGAGAGTACACTGAATGAAGAGACCACTGCCGAGTCGGTTCAGTGTAATAACAGGTGCAACCAATTGAGTCCAAGTGAAATGGATAGCACGACGTCACAGTCAATAAAGTAAGGTTGTAAACTGTCCATAAGGTGTGGTGATGGCCACGTCTCGAAGGTCCACCTCCACCAGCAAGGAAAGACCGTAAATCCGGTGTGTGTTTTAGGACTTCCCAACAGAGATGATGGTTTTAACAGACACGAAATGATATTTGCTTTAGGTTTAGGTTTTGGTTTTGGTTTTGGAAGATTTTCTTGCGTGCGAGCAATGACAGTCACATGCTAACCAGAATTTAGTCATACTAATTTTTATTAATTTTAAAAGGATATTAATCGATATATTTTTTTATTTAACATAATATATAATATATTTATTAAATAATAATTATTTTTTAATTTAAAATTAAAAATAAATAAATTTAAAAATATAATTATACA